TAAAGATTGTTATTGTTGTTTTTTAATACTGACGAGTCCAAACCCACTCACAACTGATCCTCTAGCAGGTTTCAGAGACAATAACTTGCACATAAGGAGATTGTGCATCTGTCTCTGGTAAAGCAGCTGGTAGATTTGAACTGTGAATCTTTGGGTTGGCATCACAACTCCTTACTACTAAGGCCCCTGTGTAGCCTATGGTGCAATTCTACTCCCCCTACTGTTGTTGTTAGATAACATTAAGCTGACTACCACTTATAGTGGCCCTATGAACATAAGGTCCTGTGCCACCTTTATCATCTCTGACACACTTGAGCCCGTTGCCATGGTCATTGTGTCAATTCATTCACTGAGAGTCATCCTCTCTTATGCTCACTCTCCACCCTTCCAAGCATGATGCCACTTTCCAAGAAATAGCCTTCCATAACAACATGTCGCAAGTATGTGAGATTAAACTCCACCATCCTTGTCTCTAGGGAACACTCTGGCTGCACTTTCTCCAAGACATACATGTTTGATTTTTCTGGGAGTCCATGGGATGTTCTGTGTTCATCTTTAACAACTCAAAGGCTTTAATTCTTCTTCTGTCATCCTTATTCATTGTCTAGCTTTCAGATCCATAGCAGGTGATTGAAAAGACCCTGACTTGAATCAGGTGCCGGTGCACTTTTGTCTTAAACTGACATCACTGGGCTTCAGTAATTTGGAGAGGTCCCTGATTGCAGACTTTCACAATATAACACGTCTCCTGATCTCCTGACTGCTGCTAACAAGGGTGGTATTGATTGTGGATCCAAGGGAGATGAAATTGTGGACAATTTCAATCTCTTTTCTATCATGAGTTGCCTATCAGTTCAGTGGTGACAATTTTTATCTTCTTGATGTTGAGGTTATAATCCCTATTGATGACTATAGACCTTGATCTCTACAGCCAGTGCTTCAGCTTCTCCTCACTTTCAGCAAGCAAGGTTGTGTCATCTTATAGGGTCACTATAATCAGAATCATCTTGACGGCCATGGGCTACAGTGAGAGTGAGCATGAAGCCCTTCAAATTCCACCTTGGATGAGAAAATAGACTCAACAGGGAAGGAAAGTTGGTTCATCAAAGAATTATGCTCATAAGTGAGCGAGTTCTATGTGGAAAAGCCACAAATAGTAAAACAGTCCGCTCTGTGTATGTATAGATGGACGTGTGTATGCACGTGTGCATATATATGTATGTCTACATGCCCTTGTGTATATATTCATGGGCATGTGTGTATGTGTATGTGTATGATACATTCATCTCACCCACTAAGGGCATGTTCTCAGGAGAAGGACATCTTGCTTGCTTGGAAAAGCAGAAAGTCAGCAAAAAAGAAGACCCTCGAAGAGATGGATTGATGCAGTAACAGCAACAAAGGATTTAAACCCAGCAGAGATTCCGAATGTGGTAAAGTGTGGGGCAAGGTTTCTTTCTCTCATGAACAAGGCTGCTATGGTTGGCACTGACCTGATGGTACCTAACAATAACAACAACACAACAACAACATGCATATGTATAAGTGTGTGTATGTATATATCCTGTGACTATGCATATCACCATCACTAGTCTCACAAGGCTTACAATTGAAGAAATCATTCCCACGTATCCAAACAGAAAATGAGTGTGCAATCTACTTCGTGGTAATGGCCTTAAGGTCTTTAGAGAACCAGAGACCTAGCAGGTCATCATACTAAGAATATTTGCTTAATACAGGTGGTGTTCTACTGTGATGAGGAACGACAGAAGCAACACTAAAAAACCACAAACCCCAAAACTCTCTAGTTTCCCCATTTGAACAGAGAATCTAAAGCATTCTAAAACAGAAACAAGGACATAATATGATCACTGCTGTCGCTACTGTAGGAATAAAAATGTGCATCTAATTTGGAGACAGAGTGCAGTGCATTTCCTCCCCTCCCCCAGTAATCTGGCTACAGGGGGCTCTCAGCTGCTAACCGAAAGGTCAGCTAAGTCAAGCTGACCAGCTGCCCTGAGGAAAGAGGATGGACAGTGTGTCTCTACAAAGATGTGTAGTTTTTGGAAGGACTGGAGGCAGGTCTACTCTGTCCTGTGGGGTCATTGTGAGTCTGAATTGACTTGTTGGCAGTGGGCTTTGACTTGAGTGCTCAGAATGCTTAAAACACCAGCAGACACAGAGCAGAACACCAGGGGGCTTAGCGGATTGCCACTGCTTTGACTCCCAGGTCTCAGCATCTGACAGCCAGTGGCTCTCACTGCCGCTGAGCGGAGCCTGAGCACACGCTGCGTTCATTAGAGGAACAGCACCTGTATAACATTACTGGATTGAATATTTTGGCCCCAGACATTGATCAAAAGTCTTATAACTGTATTTTTCTCCCCATCAAATTCATCTACCAGTGGTGTGCTGGTAAATAAAATGGGGGAAGGGTCTATTTTTAGCCTGCTGATTCCTATAGCGTGAACACTCCCGCCATGAAGAAGTTCAAGCAGCAATGTGATGCCAGTGAACTTGGAGTTGAGTCACCCTCTAATGCTCCATTGCTTGATGCTTAATTGGAATGCTCGTCTGGAACGCCTGCCTGTGTGAAGCCTGCAGACATGGCAATTTTCATAGGTCTGATACTTTTACCCCACCTCTTTCCATCTTGTTTGCAATCCTGGGCTAACTCAGCTTGCGTGAGAGGTGAGGATATTGAAACACTTAGCATGGTTAATGGGTTTTATTAGTGGTCAATAATCCAGAACAGCAAGCACGTGGAGGGTTTCCTGTTCTTAATAAAAGCACATTATAACACTTTGGTGGAAAATATATGAAAACTGGTGCTTTAATAGTTCCATGTCAGCACTCGGAGGTTCCGGGGCAGCTGAGTGCGCCGTGAGCATAAACAGCCTTCCGGTGCAATTTCTGGATGCTTGTTCCTCAGAGAGCTGTAATTCGACGGCTATAAAAACACAGCCCCAGACCTTGTTGGCCTCGAGGTGTGACTGCTAACTCAGAGAGCCTCTGGAGTGTGCCTGGACCCCTCTGTGGGAGGAGGGTTTGTTTCCAGCGAGCAGCATTCATATTTCTGGAAAATCCGTACTCGGTGAGACAGAATCTGCCTCGGGAACATGCAGACCTGGGCTCTTAGCCTGGCAGCAGCTGGCAGAGATGCAGGTTAGGGAAAAGAAAGGGACAAATGTAGAAACTGGCCATTTTGAAAGGATGGATTTTGGCGTAATTTTTACCTTGTAGTCCCATTTATAGAGGGAGTTTCTCCCTCCTTCTCCTCTCCTCCCATTTTTGATTAGTGTTTACCTGCAAGATTGATGGTTCAAACTCACATACAAAACTCTCTATTCTGCTTTTGAAATGTTGCCCCCTTTAAAACCCTATGGGAAAAAAAAAATAAAACCCTATGGAGTGTGGATCCTTATGGAACTTTGTAATAAAAAGAAGGCCCAAGAGGAGGAAACCATGCTTGGAAAAATCCAGCTAAGAGAGGAAGACCCTCAACAGGATGGCTGACACAGTGAACACAGCAGTGGCTTCAGCTCAGCTGAGATACAGCAAGGATGGACAGGGTTAGGAGAAGTTTCATTCTGTTGGATGTAGGGTCACTGTAACTTGGTGCTGGCTTGATTGTTCCTAACAACAGACAGTTGGAATTAATTGGGTGGCATTTTATGTATGTATGTATGTATGTATGTATGTATGTATGTATGTATGTATGTATGTATGTATGTATTTTTCACCCTGTCATGCTGAGCTGTGAGTACACGGCCCAGAGGTCCTATTGTGTCTCTAGGAGAGGCTTACGTCCTCCTCTTCTGCGGAGAGGGTGGGGAAGCTGGGCCATGTCCACACAGCCAGAGAGGGCCTGTGGTTTAGCAGCTCAAATCTACAAGCAGAATGCCCAGGTTAGGAGAGTTAGTAGTTATTCACGAGAGGTTGGATTTATAATTTCAGGGTTACATGGTCAAGCAATTATTCACTTTAAAAGGGATGATTTCTTAATAATCGTTGCTTTAACTAAAACATAAACCTGTGGCCATCATTGTTTCTGAACAATGCACTCCCCAGACAAATCAAGCTCAACATTTTCATCCTATCCTTGTCTCTTTCCAGGTATCTTCCTGACTGTAGAAATTTCCCCAAGTGGGTGAGGTGATATATAAACCAACAGCCAAAATAAACCCCTCCAACACCAACCTGCAGAATTATGGTTTAATGAGAACATGATTGTGAATATCACCAAAGCAACACATTTGCTTAAAATATGGTTTAAATGTTGAAAAAAGACAGTCTTCGTGACATTTCCAGAAATATTTCTGTTACACAAAGGATAGCACGGTGGCATTTTCAACGGGTCTGGAACCTTAACCCTGAATCTACAGACTCAGAAACAAACTTCTTTAGAACTTTTACCACACTCTCAGCTTGTCTCTGGGGAACCTTCCCTCTTTTACTTAAAGTAGCCCCTGGCTAGTTATGCTCATTTCATCAGTTTGCCAGAGGGGAAGGGGGCCCAGAGAGAGAGAGAATCAAAGCTTCTGATGTGGAAGACGGTGGATCCCACCCTGTCATGCCATCAATGAAATAGAGAGGCTGAGATCTAGGAAGGACGCTGCAGAGGCTGAGCTGGAGAGTGTGCCAGGACTTCTGCCTTCCAGCATGTGTACACCAGTTGACTGAGTTGGAAGGTCATGGCCCCTTCTCTGTTCCCTTCTCAGTGCCTTCTACTTGGGGAAGGGGCTTATTTTGCAGAAAGGGGAGTTTCTGCAATGGGGGCATCCCTTATGGAGTTTGTTCTGGGACTAAAGTCTAAAGTAACCATATCTTCAATAAGCAATGTGCATCTTTAGGGAGGTGCCTGAGTGGTGATCTGGAGGTGGGGGTAAGTGGGGTGTAGGCTTGTCTGGGAGGAGAATCACAGGACAGTGTCCTTTAGGTTGGGGTGCTGGTCAGTCTGTCGAAAGCTCTTTCCAGTGCCCTGTTCTGGAAGGGGCACCTTAGGAGACATCGTAGGCCTGGTACTTGGTTATGGTGGATGCCCTTCTGTTTCTCTCTTGAGACAGGTAGTAGATGCGGTTGGCCTCCGGGTAGGTGACTTTGCTGAGTGGGAGCTTATAGATGGCAGGGTTGTTGGTTGTCAGGAGCAGGAAGGTGAGTGCTGAGAGGCAGAAGGGCCAGGTGCAGGGTGGTAATCCAAACTAGGGAGAGAACACGAGAGAAGTCATGATTGCATTAGACACTGCACTTCTTTCATTAGACCTCATCAATCACAAGTAGATCTATAGTGGGGCTGGGGGGCACTCTTCTGGGCATTACTAAGGATACTACTTAATGTTGACCTACATAAAATCACACCAGTGGCGTCAGTCTGCACTGTGACAGATGAACAGACATGGTTCAAAATGCACCAACTGGGACTCTGTTGTAATATGCCTGCATTTAGAAAGCCTGTCTTGAGCTGCCTGACCAGGCTCTACTTCCAACTCTATGACCCATCAGCCTCTTCTGAAGAAGTCACCTTGGTAGCCATTTTGTATCCCATGACCCTTTTTGTCTTTGGTCATAGCTGGTTGGATTAGGGAGAGGCATTTGACTCAAATGTAGATTTCCTACAGGAAGATCATCTAGCCTAGTAGACATTCTTGAGAATTAAGGAACACAGAGCTTTGGTTCAGACATGATGTGAGGGTCCTTGGATGGAAAAATCTAGAGAACCAGACTAGGTGATCATTTGAGGGCATTTGCAGCAGAAGAAACCCATCTCGGAGAGAGTCAGGGAAGTGTAGGGAGGCAGAGATAGTACATGCAAGTCCCAGGAAGCTTGAGGTTGAGGTAGGTGTCTTCTCCAAAGATGCTCCCTCTCCTCGCTTCCTTCTTCATGATGCTGCCCTGTTGTGGTTCCATCTTCACCATTTCCCTGAGATGTCCTGAGCTTTTGAAATATCTTTCTCTATTCTTTGAGATAGCTTGAGTCAGGAGCTTGCTAACAAAGAGCCTGTGAATTTAGTTGTGAGGTAGATCAAATCATACCATCTCTTCCTTGTTGTTGTTATGTGCTGTGGAGTTGCCTGTGACTCATAGTGACCCTATGTACAACAGCCCTAAACCCTGCTCTAGCCTGTTCCAATCTCACTGTTTCCAACACACCTATCCCCATTACCCCAGTGATTGAATCAGTCCATCTCATCGAGGGTGGTCTTCTCCTGCGCTGTCCCTCCACCCTCCCAAGCATGACATTCCTCCCCAAGGACTTATCCCGCCTTGCAACATGTCCAAAATATGTCAGACAGAGCTTCAGAATCCTTGCCTCCAAGGAGCAGTCCAGCTTCACCCTCTCCAGGACAAACTTGTTTATTCTCCTAGCAGTCCATGGTATATTTAATACTCTTCTCCAGCACCACAGCTCAAAGGAATCGATTCTCCTTCTTTCATCCCTAGTCATTGTCCAGCTTTCTTTTTTTTTTTTTTAATTGTTCAGGTTTTATTCACCAAGAGCTTTTTCCTCTTTTCCCCGCCTGCTGACTCCCACACTCCCAGTCAGGGAAGGGATTCGCTGGCCTCCTCAGCTGTATTGTCCAGCTTTCTGATGCTTAGCAAGTAATTGCAAAGACCATGACCTGTCTCAGGTGCACTTTAGTCTCCAGATGGACATCGTTGCTCTTCAGTACTTTGGAGCGCTCTCTGACAGCAGATGTTCCCAGTAAAATTCATCTCTTGATTTCCTCCTGGCTACTGATACCAAGGGTGTTGATTGTGGAGCCAAGCAAACTGAAGCTGTCAACGATCTCAATCTCTTCATCATCTGTCATGATGCTGCCAGTCGGCCCAGTGGTGAGAATCTTTTTTTTCTCCATATTGAAGGCTGCAATCCTTGATCTTCTGCAGCAAGCACTTCAGGTTCTCCTCAGTTTCAGGAAGAAAGGTTGTGTCATTTGCATAATGCAGATTATTGACGAGTCTTCCTCCAGTCCTGATGCCACATTCCTCCTCATAGAACCCAGCCTCCCGGATAATCTGTTCCGCATATAGACTGAAAAAAATATGGAGCTAGGATACATCCTTGATGAACACCCTTCCCAATTTTGAACCATGCAGTGTTTCCTTGTGCTTTTTTGATGACTGTCTCTTGGTCTGAGTATAGGTTTCACATAAGCACAATCAAGTGTTATGTGATTCCCATGCTTCTCAGAGCCGTCACAGTTTATTGTGATCCACACAGTCAAATGCCTTTGCATCGTCATTGAAACACAGAGAGACATTCCTCTGGTACTTTCTGCTTTCAGCCAAGATCCATCTGACATTAGCTATAATATCCCTAGTGCTATGGTCTCTTCTAAATCCAGCCTGCACTTCAGGCAGTTCTCTGTTGATGTGCCATTCCAGTCTTTTTGGATAATCTTCAGCAGAATCTTGTTTCAAAGTGATATCAGTGATACCTATACCTGTTCAATAATTTCCACATCTATCAGATCACCTTTCTTTGGAATGGGAACAAATATAGATCTCCTTCAGTCAGTTGGCCAGGTGGTTGTCCTCCAGATTTCTTGGCACAATTTGGTGAGCACATCCAGGGCAGCATCAGTTTGTTGAAATATGTCAATCAGTATGCCTTCAATTCCTGGGGCCTTTTTTTATTTTTATTTTTTTTTCCAATTCTTTCAGAGCAGCTTGAACTTCTTTCTTCATCACCAAAGGCTCTTGCTCATATGTTTTTTCATTAAATTCTTCTGTGTCCACCAATTCCTTTTGGTACAATGACTCTGTATACTCTTTTCATCTTCTTTTAATGCTTCCTGGATCATTTAACTTTCTGCCCAAAGCATCCTTAAGCAATGCAACTCAAGGCTTGAATATGTTCATCAGTTTCTTCAGCTTAAGAAATGCTGAATGAATTCGGCCCTTTTGATTTTCTGACTTTACTTTGTCCTCGCATGCTGCCCTCTGGAATCTTCTGTTCAACTCCTTAATATCTTGATTTCTTCCCTCTGCTTTGGCTTCTCAGAGCTCCAGTTCAATATTTAGAGCTTCTTCTGACTCCGTCTTGGTATTTTATTCTTCCTCTGTCTTTGTAATGACTTTTTGCATTCTTCCTGGATAATATTCTTTATATCCTCCCACAGCTCATCTAGTCTTCACTCATTAATGTCCAAAGCCTCAAATCTGTTCCTGATATGATTTTGAAATTCAGGTGGGATAGACTCAAAGTCAAATTTTGATTACTGTGGACTTGATTCCAAGCACTACATACTTCAGGGTACATTAGGTTACAAGGATTTTAATCAAAGCATGAGTCCTTGTTGTCCCAACAGGGAGCCCCATATAGAAGGAGGACCCCAGCACTGCAGGTGGGAGTAATACCTGTAAATTCCTTGCCATCCACCAAAGTGACTGGCATTGTGCCAGTTACTTGAGAATTGCTATATTGGCTCACACTCTATAAACATATCAACAATTCAAGTGCTATTTAAATCTTTGCTTTACAAGATGATGAACTGTAAATTAACTTTCTAGAAGGAGCTCCACTGGCCCTTGACAAGGGGATTTGATTGACCAACAGTTGACATTTAAACTTGAGGGACCCAATTCTTAGGTCTGGGGAGTATGGAGAGAAGGAGGGTAGCTGAAATGAGACAAAGGAGCTGGGGGAGTTTCTGGAAGAGGGTTTGGGAGCAACAGGCTCTGGGAAGTGGAGTGAACAGCAGGTCTTTGGGTTTGTTCAGAGACTCACCACAGAGAACATGTTCACCAGGGCAGCACCCAGGTAGGCCGCAAAGAGTGCTGGGAAAAAACCAAAAAGAGATACATTCCAGTAACTAATGGTCCCTCCACTTTAGCCTACATATTCTCTCCCCATCAATGCTAGTCCACAAATGCTGTCTGCTACATTTAAGAAAAAAAAGAAAAGTAAGCCCCTTGAGTTATGTTTGCTCTGCTTGGCAGCTTTGTTTTATCTTTTCTTTTATTATTAATTTTAATGAAATGTTTGGCAGCTTTGAGACATGTTAAATTCCACACAGATGCTGGCCCAGCTAAGACCCCAGACAAACTTTGTTAAAAGGTCCAGAATCCAGCTATTACTGTTCTCGTGGGTCCCACCACCTTGCATTCCAGGAAAGGAACATTTAGCCATAAACCATAAATGAAAATTTCACTATTCTGTAAAGGCACGGGAACCCCAGTACTCCCTGCTGCAATATTGCATCCAAGTTATTAACATAAAATGGGTTTCCAGAGAGGAGTGGCCTTCTAGACACTGAGGGAACATGGAATATGTTTATTGCTTTATCTTTCTGGCTTGGTGGCAGGCATGGCCAGGTGTCCTCCGGGAGGAACAAATGCCAGTGAGAAGCAAGAGGTCTATTTCATGGGTCAGTGTGTTTGTACTTTGCTTTTGAACCTTTATTCTCAACTGAAAGCATCGAGTCATCCCTAGGATATTAACGATCACAATAAAACCCTGCTGCCACTTGATCATGGTGACTCTGTGTGTGTCAGAGAACTGTGCTTCCACGGGGCTAATTTCTTCAGAAGTGGTTTGCCAGACCTCTCTTCCAAGTCATCCCTAGATACACTCAAATCTCCAACCTTTTGGCTGTTACGAGAGGGTCAATCATTTGCACCACTCAGGGACTCAGACCTTAATGACAGCTGCTCTGCTGGTAACGTCGTTGATGCTACTGTTTGCTGCCAAGTCAGAACTGACCCATAGCTGACCCTCTGGTGGGTTTACAGAGGCAGTCAGTCCCACGTGAGGAACCTGACCATTCTTCTCCAGTGAAGCAGCTGGTGGATCCGAACTGTGTGCCTTTGGGATTGTAGTGCAGCTTCTCACCATGGCATAGTGTGTTACATACCAGGCTGCTAACTGAAAGGTTGGTGGTTCGAATCTACCAGGTAATTCATGGAGAAAAGTGGACTGTCTTCTCCCATAAAGATTTAGAGCCCTGGAGACTGGATGGAGGGTCATTATGAGTCAGAACTAACTTGGCTGGCAGTGGGTCTGGTGACAGTTACCACCTTTAGAAGGAGCCCCGTTGGTATAACTGGAAGACCCCCACAGGCACCTCAGATTGTCCCGGCAATATGCCACTGACAAGTCAGCCATGGAGCCTTCTGGAACACAGCTGAGCTCTAATACACATGAATTTGCTGTACATCACACAAGATTGCTGTGAATCAACCAGCATTGACTCCATAGCAACTAGCCTCAGAAGCATTTAAAAAAAAATTTCCAACAAAAATCTTCAAAGCAAAGAGTTCTTCCAGTTTATCTCTGGAGAATGAGCAGCATTTTCACAGAGTAACTTGGTGGGGTAGACACAGGCATCATCGGTGGTGGAAAGGGAATTCTGTCTGTGGGACGTACCACAGGCGATGGCGAGGAGGTGGGTCTGCCAGGTGATGACGTAGAACATGCCGCCTATGGCGATGCAGGCCAGGGTGCTGTTGAACCCGCACAGGCCGAAGTAGATGGCATCGAAGGGTGTGGCGATAGTGAGAGCTGTGGGGGAGAAGGCAAGTGAAAATGCTGAATTGTGGCTCATGGGCTCTTACCTGCCCCTCGGCCTCCTGGCTGATTGCTAAGAGCTCAGAAGGTGCTATCCTTGTTAATTGACAGGATCTCTGATAGCTATTTGCTCAGAAGGTGCTATCCTTGGTGATAGACAGGACCTCTGATACCTATTTGATGAAAAAGGAAACAAATGGCCACAGAGTCCCACGCATACTAGTAGTGTGCATGCAAGCTCGTATGAGCAGTAGGTCTTTTGAGTAAGGACTCTGAGGTTGGATTTAAACAGTCTCCCCCACACCTCCAAAAGACCTCTATTTCTTTCCTGATATCTTAATGTTCTCTAAATGGATAATAAGTTCTTCTTATCTTCATTAGAGATAACACTTAAAATAGAAACATGCCTGGAAGAAAATGCTCTTCCTCAACAGACTTAAAATTTATACTAAGGTGTAAATGACTACTGCCAAAGCTTTCCTTAAAGGCAGCTTTCGGTCCAGGGAGCATTAGGGCACTGGCACCATAAGTGGCAAAACAGGGCACACAGAAGGAAGGAGAGTTTGCAGGAATGGTAGGGAGGTGATGAAGGATCCATGCCACTCCAGTGCTCAGAGCTGGCTCCAGGCACTAACCCGAGAGAGACGTGATGGTTCTGACCTGCTAGCATCCCCATGGTGGATCCGATCGCTGCATGCAGACAGACAAGAGGCGATGACAGGAACAAGGCGATGAGGAAAATGCCTCCAGTCCAGGGGTTATCACAGCCATACACTTGGCCGATTCCAACAGGGATGGCTCTCAAAAGCTGTAGATTGGACAGGATCATATGTTTATTGTGAGGGCAAGGGGGTAACTGTGTCATAGCAGGAGAAGATCCGGCACCCAGCCTCCACACCCACACTTTGCAACAAGTTTCATTCAAATGTGTTAACTCCAGAAAGAACACAACGCTCACTATCTTACTCTTGGATTCTTAGAGTCTATAAGGGTTAGAATGAGCAGTGTCCTTCACTTATTTAAAGTTTTCTATGTGTGTATCCTTCATTTAGAAACATGAGTATAGTAAGGCACTTCCTAAACTCTGGAAACTCCATGAACTTTGATGAATGTTGATAGTTATGGAAATGTCTCAGGCCTTTTGTTCTTAGGGTTGCTATGAGTTGTGCTTGATTAGGTGGTAATCAACAACACATGGCTGCAGTGAAGAGAAACCAAAGACCTTTCAAATGAGGGATTAGTTGTTAGTAAAGTAATAGTGTCTGATCAAAGTTGGGGTTTAAAAACTTTTTTATCATTTACTGATTTTATAAAAAGCTAGTTATAAAAGATGAATGGCAAATCCCAAGCCCATTGCTGACTAGTGGGGATCTATGTTTTACAGATTAGAGTGAACCCATTAGGTTTCCGAGGGTGTAGTCTTTATTGGAATAGATGGCCACATTGTTCTCCTTCAGAACTGCTGCTGAGCTGTTCAATACGTTGTCTGTTGCACAACCAGGGGTGACATGGAAGAGAAATCATGTACTTCAAGCATCCTCAGGCTGAGGGTTAGAACATACAGAGGCAGGAGATCCTGGTGGCCTCACACATTCAGCCCAGTCTCCCCTTTTCAGGAGGAAAAGAACAGGAGGCAGTTCTGGCACCACCAGGGGTGGAAAAAAAGCAGGAAGGGAGAGAGTTTGAGGCAAGACAGCAACTGCACAGCTCAGCTGTCAATAAACCTCATCCTCAGAAGGGGGCGATCATCAAGGCCATGGAGCCAGGAAGCGCAGGCCTCAGCACTCCCGGGAGTGTTAGCTCTGCACTTAGCACTTGCTTCCCTGAGATGCAAGGCTCTAATTACAACAGTCAAAACAAACAACATAGGAATCATACCCACAATCCACTCTGTTGGGCAATATAAAAAAAACAAAAAAACAAAAAAACCACCAAAAAAGAACCCCAACACGAAAAACACACCCAAAAGTGATTTTTTTTTTTCTTTCTTATTAGTCTTGGAACTTTGTAGTTCTAAAGTTTATTGTAGTATTTTGGTTTTTTTTGTTTGTTTGTTTGTTTTTTTACATGGTTCCCAAATAACCTTTTACTTGAATATGGGGCAAGAAACAAGAAAAATATAGTAAAACACTCTATTCTTACATCATCTTGAGGGAGCACATGAATTGAATAATCTTGCCTCTCACGGCTTTCCATGGGGTGAGTTTTTTCTTTTTCCCTTTGGCTCTGGGAGCATGAGGTGTGGGGTCTGGTGCATGGAGAGCCTCTCACACGATCACGGAGGATAAATCCAAGGCCTATATTTCTCTTTCTAAACAAAGGCTCAGCCCTCGCTTCCTGCTGAGGGCTCCCTTTGTCTGTAGAAGGCTGAGAGAGAGAGAGATCATGCATCTTCTACTAGAAAGTTCCTTCAGCAAATCCCAACTGCATACGGGCAGAGGGTGGGTTGCCAATAAGGCAGTGGCAGGGTGAGCTCGAGCTCACGGGCAGTAGGGGGCCACATGCTACACACCCATTTGGATAAAAAGCTAATGGGCCTGCATCTATGTGCTGATTTGCTTTGCTTTGGTGACTGCCAGAGGCCAGAAAGACAGGCCAGCAATACTAGTAAAAATGCTTGCTGTTCCGTGATGCGATTCTGAGCGGAGGCATCCCTGTGCTTTCATTCTGAGCTCTCCTGCATCCTGGGCTGGACCAGCCACCAGAGGTGGAAGCAGAGACTTGTGGAGTGCAAGGATGGTGTGAGGTGTGCACCTTTCATTATCCCAGGTGACTGAATGAAAGCAGTCACAGCAGGAGGTGCATGAAGGCTGGAGAAAAGCACCAGAAAGACCTTAAAAAAGAAAGGAAGGAAGAAGGAACTCGGGCAGGAAGTCAGAGACCTGAGGGCTAGAGCATTCTGTCTGCGCCTAATTAGCTGTGTGGGTCCAGACAGGATTTAAAACCTGGCCACAAAAAAAAAAAAACAAACAAAAAACAAAAACCCAAAAAAAAACCTGGCCACAGTTTCTCCCTCAAGTGGTATAGCAGGTGACGACCAGAGGTGGTCATTTCAGCTCTTCAACAAACAAACAAACAAGTGGCATTTAAGAGGTCTTTGATGTCGTCAGCCTCACATTGTAGAATTCTTAATAATTACTACTTGTGATCCCCTTTACCACCTCTGGTGGCCTGCATGTTGCTGTACCACCTGTGTTTCAGATATAGGCCACCTGTGGTGGACAGATCTTAGCAGATCTACTTATGTCCTGTCAAGTAAGAACTGACTCAGAGCTGACCCTACCATAGGTTTTTAAGGGGCTGTAAATCCCCTGTGAGGAGATTTCCCATCTTTCTCCCACTGTGCGACAAACTGGTGGATTTGAACCATGTACTTTTGGGTTCGTAGTGCAACTCTGTACCACCAGGTCAAACTAGTCCATGAAAATCTATAGATTACTATAGATTACGAGAGTATTATCCAGCAGAGTGCTGGAAGAAGGGGCTGTGTATGTTGGAAGATGCTTAAAAGGCTCAATGTCTGCAGTCGTGAATTTGAGTAGATGGACAATAGTGAAGCTGGCATGGGAACAGGCGATGTGTTGTTCTGTTCTGAAGGGGTCACTGTGAGCTGGAATTCACAGCGACCGACAATGATTATTCATGGTATGTCTGACCTGATAAATCAGTAACTGCCACTTTAAAATCGATGTTGGACAGATGCTACCCCCAGTGATACCTACCAGTGGCACCTGGACATCTGACCAGGTGATGTTGGGCACTGCGGAGACCGGCTGCAGCAGCATTGTGGGGAAGAAGGGGTTGTAGTGGCCAGTGGCTGCCAGGTAGAGGGTCACAGCGATGTTGAAGGGCAGCGTGAATACCGGAAGGTCCCACTTGCTGAAGATGGAGCCCAGGGCACTGGAGAGGATGGGGCTGAGACAGAGCACAGGAGATGCTGTTCAAGGAACCCCTGAACCTGACATTGATGGGGTGGTCAAGGCCTGACTGGGGCCAAGGGGGTTCCCTGCGCCTTTCAGAGAAAGGCAGAGTGAGGACATCGTCCCTGAGTCTGACTGGCCTCCTCTCTGAGTCCCAGCATAGTGACAGGAGGGGTTGTCCGGGCTTCCTGGAGGAAGGTTAAAAGGCAGGAAGTCCCAGAGTCACATGGTTTCACTCACAGGTGTGAGGAGGGAGGAGGGATAGGGGGATGATAGAGAAGCACATTTATTCACTCAACAAATGTCCACTGAGTGGCCAAATATGCTGAGCTTTGTGGTCAGAGGGCCTCACACTTTCTGAGGGTGAGGGAGAGCTGGCATGCCATGCATCTATGTCACTGTGTCGTGTGACAGATCACCCATGGCCTGTCTCCTGTGATGCCGACGGGCTGTCTTGGTCTGCTCAAAAGTCCCCTCAGAAAAGCTGGGCAGGGTGAGGAAGGACAAAGAGATTCTCACAAGCTGAGCCTCTTGGATAGAGCCCTTACCTATGTGGGCCTCAGTTTCTCTAGACCCTAAAAGAGTATCCAGAAATTATCTTGTATCTAGTTTTTCATAACAACAACTGAAGTGAAGGATGATGGGTAATGAGATACTGTCAGTAGGGCAATAGTGACTTCAGGGGATTTTATAAGTCTAATGTGCATGCAGGTTAAGTAAACACGACTTTCAAATCATGTTTTCACAAACTGGCTTGGAATAAAAGGGGCTGCGGCCGTGGGTGTGAACTCACAGCCTTGGTCAGAGACTCACCAGGACATGGACATCACGATGACAGGGAGCAGCAGCCACCAGTAATAGTCGCCTTTGTTGGAGAACACGGCCATGAGCAGTCCCACCAGCACCCCGTTGTAGCCGTGGAGTCCGGCAGCAATGGCAGATCTGGGCAAAGGGTTACAGACAGACGGGTGAGGGGCTTCCCCATGTGGTCCGATGTGGGATCTTTCCTTTCTAATGGTCCTTTTACCTCGGACTTTTCTCTAATGGGGCCTGACTGTACCTTCAAACAAACCACCCCTTGGGAAGGGAGAGGGCCCGGTTCCCTTCACCACATGAGCTCTAGAACATCCACCCAACAAGCAGCAGACAACGCTCTTCCATGCACGACTTGGCTGAGGGTAGTAAGTCAGACACCAGAGGACAAATATCATGCATCCCAGTTTTGTGAACTATCTAGTCACTTGCACAGACAGAAGTTTAATGTTTTTTGTTGTTGTTGTTGTATACCATAGAGTTGGAACTGACCCATAGCTGATCCATCCAATTTTCAGAGGCAGTTAATCTGAAGGGAGGAGACTGCCCATCTTTCTCCTCCAAAGCAGTTGCTGGATTTAAACTGTATACCTTTACATTTGCAGTGCAATTCCTTACTGCTAAGCCAACCGAAGAGTGGGAAAATGAATAAGGATGATTGAAGAACTGATGCCTTTGAGTTTTGTTGGAGAAGAGCACTGAATATCCCACAAACAACCAAAAGAATGAACAGGTGTATATCTTGAAAGGGTACAGCCAGAATTCTTCTTGGAGGCAAGGATGGCAAAGTTTCATCTTTCATACTTTGGACATGTTGCTAGGAGAGGCTATTCCTTGGAAAGGGATGACATGCTTGGAAAGGTAGAAGGGTCAGCAAAAGAGAAGAAGACCCCCAATGATATGGATTGACGTGGTGACTGCAGCTATGGGCTCAAGTGTGTCAGAGGTGATGAGGATGGCACAGGACAGGACAGAACTCAGATTCATTGTTCATAGGGCTGTTGTGAGTCTTATTCAACTCAACAGTACCTAACAACAACCACCACCACCCACTAGAGCTCTCTAAAGTTTACTAGTGCAAGAGAAAATAAACAGGTCTTTCAAATCATGATTTCCAGTATCAGAGACTGGGAGTTGGGAAGAAGGGGCCTATGACTGAAGGGACATTGAGTTTCTCTTTGAGTTAATGATACTTCTGGAAAGAAATTGTGATGACAGTTGCACACATTGTGAAAGTAATTAATGTCACTGAGTTTTGTGTTATGCATACGTATGTCCATAATAGAAAAGCATAAGCAGAGGGAGCAGTCCTTTTCAGTCAAGATGTTCTCCTGGAGGAGTGGACACAACTCTGTGTGAGTGTGTGAGTGTGTGTGTGTGTGTGTGTGTGTGTGTGTGTGTGCGCGCGCGCGCGCGCGCGTGTGTTGGTCTCCACAGGAAGGGCCCTCTGGTATTACATGCCACACCCTCTGTCTCCAGGCATGGTGGCCCTGGAACTTACCTGTCCTGACTCAGGATGAGGGCTGTCAAGGTGGACACGATGGTTCCCAAACAGCCCGAGATGGCCCACCAAGGGTTCTGGACGAAGAGGCCAAGGACGATGAGGATGCCACTGAGCGGGTTGTTGACGAACATCACCTGGGACGTGCCCCGGAGAATCCAGTCGATGAACTGGAACACGGGGGACTTGTCTGAAAGGGACAGGGCAGGACGTCGGCAATTGCTCACTGCACTATCCAGGTGTGACAGCTGGGAGGGAGGCCAAGTGAGGAGGAGGGACCCGCCATCTTCATTAGCCACCTCAAACCGAACCCAATTTTCTGCTACTGAGTCGACTCCGACTCATTGCAACCCTCTTGGATTTCTGAGGCTGTAAATCCTAATGGAAGGGCACTGCCTATCTTTCCCTCATGCAGATGGTGGTGTGCTCGAACAGCTGTCCTTTTTGATAGCAGTCCAATATTTAACCTACTACACTGCCAGCATGTCTCAGCCACCAGGGGAAGGGTTGAAATGGAAACAGAGAGGACAGTGACCACCCAGGCGGCTCTGCGTCCTTTGCCAGCCAAGCGTGGTCTTGAGGTTGGTCTCCAAGCAGTGGGGCTGGGGTTCCCCGATCTATCTGTTCTGCCTCCCCATCCCAATCTGTGGTAGTGACATAGATTTTCTAGAAAGCTGATCTGGGCTTGGAAGGGGGTTATTCTTGCTGCTTAGAGATGCATCAAACCTATGGACTGAGCATGAGAACCTGCTGGAATAGTAGACGTGGTTCTCCTGCAAGCCATTCAGAGGGCATCTTTCTATAATGCTGACCTAGAACCCTAGTGTGAAGGCGTGCCCATCGATGAACCTTGACGGTGCTCTTCCACAGTGCGCAGCTCTCGTGTTCAGCGATGAGAACTCATAAACACACGGGTGTTTCCACCTCTAGAGACTGCACGTCTGCTACAAACACAGAACTCCCATTTTCTCTGGAGACCATGGCAGTGGAACTAGTCTGGGGGGAAGTGTGGCAGGGAGGCTCATTGAAGGCGACCTTTTCGGGATAGGATCCGGGGCATCTCTTGTAGGACCTGTACCTTTAAGGCCCTCTCCACACTCCTTCATCTCTCCGGTGATGTAACTAAGGGCTCTGCTGACCCTCTTCCCACTGGCAGCCACGGAACTCTGGATCCAGGACAGCCTGGATGTGTTTGTTTCCGCCTTGATCTCGGAGCTCTCCTCCATGGTGTCCAGATCCTGTGCAGGGACAAGAGATGGGGGAGCAGCTCTTACAGTCTGTGGTCCTCACACTGAGAAGGGGACTTGCGTGGTTAGTCACTGCCCCAGCTCATGCACATTGGATGCTGGGAATTGCTATTCAGTTAGCTCACTATATCTATAGATTATAGTTTGCCATTGAGTCAGGCTCAACTTATATGACCTTGTTGGATAGAGGCAGCTTAGAACTTCCCCACTGAGTTTCCCAGGCTACAATCATTGTAGGAAGGAGCCCTGGTGGCATATGTGTATGTGTTCTATTGTGCTGTTAAAGGAAAGGTCAGTGGTTTGAATCTACTAGCTGCTCTGAGCAAGGAATATAGAAAGTTTTGTCTCGTAAAGATTTTCACTTCAAGGGGGAAATCCACATGATGGCTGTGAGTTTGGAAGTAGACTTTCTTCACAAAGCAGCTGGTGGGTTCCAACCCGTGACCCTTCCGTTGACAGCATTGTACTTGACCACTGTGTCACCAGGTTCCTTTTTGTAGATTAGAATGTTTTCTGTTTTGTATGACAGGCTACTTCATTTAATTTAGACAAACAGTCACGCTAAGGCACAACTAGGCCCTGTCTGTATCAAAATACTACAGCTAAGCGGAGGACTTGAGCACAGAGTTCCCATTTGTCTTCAAAGACCCGATGACAGAACTAAGATTTGGTTTTTTGTTTTTTTTCAGAACTGAGGTTTAACCATAGGTGTTTAGACTCTTTAAAAAAAACAAACAAATGCATATCTCATTAATTCTCCTATGCCCTATTTCTTCCAGGATATGGTATCTCTTTTCACTTCCAGCATGTCTAGTCTCAACATTTAGATGTAAACAAGCATAAAGGAATGAAATTGCATATGCCAAGATTCTGGGTTTTTTAAAGAAAAATTATCACATGCTTAGCTTTTAAATCTTGGAATTGTACAGTTAGAGAAAGATTGATAATCAATGAAATTAAGGGCTGGGAAACATCTTTACATAGAAAATGATGAAAAAGTTATTTCTGTTCCAGTTACTTTCCTAAAAATAGGAAGTCAAGGAAAATGTCCTTAAATCAGAGGGTTATTTTTGATTGTCAGCTCCCTACTCTACCACAGGCTTAGAGACCTCGAGTGCTGTTTGGGGTAACTAACAGGGAAGGGTCCCGGTGGTACAGTGGTTACAGCCCTCAGCTACTAACCGGAAGGTCAGTAGTTTGAACCTACCAGCTGCTTGCAGGGAGACGGATGTGGCAGTCGGCTGCCATGGAGCCTGACGGTGTTGGGCACCCTGTGGGATCGTTCTGTGGGGGGCACTAGGAACTGGGATGAGTTTGACGGCTTTGGGCTGGCGTTATCTTGGCCAGATACTTACAAGCAGCTCTAGGGTGGCCTTCCGGTATTGACAGGGAGATGGGTCCTTGGCGGTTTTCTCCTGGTGATCGCCTTTTCCAAACACTGGAGTCAGAAAAAAGATGCATCATGAATTAGAACAGCTTTGCCCGGTCCGGTCCCTCATCCCTCAGCTAATTCCTCACAAGACTGGAGCTAGAATATTTAGCATTTCTTATTCTTCTTGCGGAAGCTCAGAACCGTGGAATCTTGCACCTGGAAGGACCCTTTTTTTCTATTCATCACAGACCCCTTTGGGGACTCATATAAACTGGGTATTTTATAGATACCAGGGCTTCATAGGTTCCAATAACCTTTAGTTAAGAATCTAGGAATTAACACAACCCCTTCATTTTATAGATGAGGAAACAACAGCTTCAGGATCAGTGGGTCACCCATGATCCCTGATTCAGGGCTCTCTCTCTTGCACCTGTTGAGCAACTTGCAGGGGTACAAGGAATACCTGGGCTTTGCTGGGTTCCTTGACTTTATGAGGATAGAGTATTGGATCGCCTGCATCATGCACGGTCTGAACGTGGCAATGCCACACTCCAGCTATATAAATGTGAGCTGTTTTGAGCTTATGTATGTATGTATTTTTAGAATATATGTCTGGAGTTTTAGCAGCTGCTAGTTGCATTAAATTAGGGCAAGTGATTTCCCTGTAGTCACTTTAAACAGTTTCGGCATACCCTTGTCATTCCAGAAGACTCTAGTAAAAGATCGTCAAGTGTGTTACTCACTCCTACTAACTAGATAATTAATATATCTGCAAAGGCGCCCAAGCTGGCCTTTGGAATTTCAGTCTTGATGCTCTGGTTCCCTCCAGTGGCCAACTGTAAGAATGTCAGGCTGCGCTCTGCTGACTGGGTAATTTTAGTCTGAAATGGGTATTTAATTCCAGCTACTTGAAGGGATGGATTCATCAAAGGCAACTGTGTTTGTATTTTTTTGCAGAAGCAGGGGCTTCAAGTACTAGTGTGGCTGTGGATTTACACTGTACAAGAGGAGCAAATTAATTTTGGAAGGTTTGACATGAGGAAGAGGAGAGGATGCCTTGGAATTCCGTTCACCAAGGTTAGGAGCGCGAAGCAGGTACGGCGGCTGCTTCTGTCTGCGGCGCCCTGTGCCAACCAGCACCACAGGGACTCCGGCCAGCTTCCATATGGCAGGCCTCTGCCCCTACCAGCCCCCGCCAAGATCTTCAGATGACATAGGAGGGATGTTGCTGATCTTCCAGGGAACCATTCTCTCTTCTATCCCATACCTGAGGCATTGACAAAGCCAAGCTCCTGTGCCAGAGGGTCATCTGTAATGCTCTCCTCACCTGCCGTGGCATTCCTACAAACCATCCCAGGTCCAAGCACGGGCTGATTGATTTTTTGGTGTGAAATCATTCAGTCTAAATACAACTGGATGAAAGGTCATTAGATGCATTACCCAGGAGACATTGACCTTGTAAAAAAAGGGTGCCGAGTCTGAATTTCCCAGGTGGTGGGGTGACTCTGATGTCTCTGCTCCCCAGAATGGGCATGGAGAGTGGGACACAATTGTCCTGCAGCCCTGGCTTTTCATGCAGCTGCAGCTGATTAGGGGGTGCTCACCCACTCCACTCTGCTAGCTTGTGTTCTTAGAGTCCAAGCCCACGTTCCTGGCCCTCCCCTCCCAGCTCCTCTTTGAATGGTCCCTTCACTCCTTTCCCATTACGGCCCCTCATCGCTATCTTAAGTGGGAACCTTTTATCTCTAGTCTCCCAGACCAGAGGCTTTCAACTTGATTGAAAATTAGACTCTTAGGGACAGCTTTACAAAACCTTGATGCTCATCCAGGCTGCTCTGGGACCAATCAAATGAGTCTTTAGGGTGAGATCTGGGTGACTTCAAAAACACAACTAAGTTAGGGAACCCCGACTGGGAGAAAGCCACAACTAAGTTAGGGAACCCCGACTGGGAGAAAGCCACCAGCTGCACCAGCTCCACTCACCTCCCATGCAGAGGGAGTCTAGACACCCCAAAAAGCTGGCTTTGATCAGGAATCAGTTGTGTTAATGAGCTCAACCCAATGGCACTGCATGGTCCCATTTTAGAGATGAGGAAATGGAGAGCGAGGGGAGGACGTGCACACCTTTGCTCCTCCTCCGAATGGACGACCACTCGATGTGGAACACGTTCCTGGGTTTGGGACGCACGGCCTCTGAGCCCTCATTGGCCTTAGGGCCCCCCGATGTTGGTGGCTGCTCCCCACTGCTGCCTAGCCGGGGCAAAACGAGAAAGGTCAGTGTCCCACCCTGGTCCCCACCCAGAGAAAGCCGAAGCAGAAGGTTATCACACACAGAGGCTGGACAGGAGATGAGATAAGGGCGGAAGCTGGGTAAGTAAATGATCAAAACCACCACCATTGAGTCAGTTCTGATGCCAAAGGGTCCTCTAGCAGGTCAATGAGGCTTCAGGTCAGGAGACTACCCATCCTCCTCCTGCAGAGGGATTCAAACTGTGTGCCTTTGGAATTGCAGCACAGCTTCTTAGCACCAGGCCACCACAGAAACCCCAGTCGTGTTTCTTATAAATTTTCATTGAGGAATGACATGTGCTACATATAGTTGCAACTTGCCTAAATATTTCATGTTGTTGATGTTAAGTGCCGTTGAGTCGTAGGCGACTCATAGTGGTCGTATTAACGAAACACCTGAACACTTGTCTGACTTTTATCCTTTCTCCGGGTTAGGGTTTCTGGAAGGAAGCTATTTCGGAAGTGGATGCCACTCCTGCTTCCAAGCTTGTTTTAATCGGGGAGCTCAACCAAACACTGTTCACCACGGGTAACCATTAACGCATTTGACACATCAGTGTCACAGTGTTCAGCTTCACAGCAACCACAAGTTACCTCTGCACAGCAAGTGGACAGACCAGGGCTATAGGACCCAGAAGAATGTTTTACCAAAAGCAATTATTTGACCACTTTGGTAAAATATTTCTGTGGTTATGAAAATACTAACAAAATTGCAAAGTCTTTCTATATTGAATTACAGTGTTAATAGTGATAATGTTATTAATAACTGAGAAGATTTTTTTTTAAATTCTCCTTCCCCTCTATCTCCTGTCATGCGCAGATAACACAATTTTGCAGCCAGAGAAAGAGGCTTTGAAGCACTTAATGATGAACCTTAAAGTCTTTAGTACAGATTACACTTCCACATCAAGACAACGAAACTTCTCACAAATGGACCAAGAAACAGCATCATAATAAAGGGAGAAAAGATTGACGTTGTCAAAAATTTCACTTTACTTGGGCTACCATCATCACCCATGGGAGCAACAGTTAAGAAAGCAGAAAAGACTTATTACATTGGGAAAATCTGTTGCCAAAATCCTGTTTAAAATGTTAAAGAACAAGGTTTGAAAACTAAGGTGTCTGACACAAGCCCTGGTATTTTCAATCACCTCATATGCATGTGAAAGTTGAACAACTAATAAGAAAGACTGAAGAAGAATTCTTGCCTTTGAACTGTGGGGCTGGCAAAGAGTACGGGTTACGCTATGGTATACCATGGGCTGCCAAAGGAACAAAAAAGTTTGTTTTGGAGGAAGTATAACCACAATGCTCCTTAGAAACGAGAATGGCATAATTATCTCACATAATACGGGCATGTTATGAGGAGGGGCTAGGCCTTGGAGAAAGGCATCATGCTTGGTAGATAGAGGGTGAGTGAAAGAGAGGAAGGCCGTTAACAAGATGGATCGAGTTGGAGATGCCAGCTGTTCCCACAGCAGAGCTTGTGAAGATGGTGAAGGATGGGCAAGGCTTCATTCTCTCATAAACAGTCAGTACGAGCTGGAGTCCATTCGATGGTGCCAGACAACTTCCCTCTAATTATCACTTTATTTTTCTTTTTCTTAGAGTTATTGATATAGGTGAGCAACTCTTCTCTCGTGGAATACACAGCCTCAGAAATCCAATGGCAGGTTAACCGTGAGTCTGTTCTGACTTGATAGTAATGAGTTTTTGAAGGGCACCTTCCAAGTCTATGGAATGGCAGGATGGTTGGTCTCTGGAGTATGAGCTTTGCAGTGCAGGTACACGCTAGAGTTAGAGGTTGCTGGGGCTCCCTGGAACAGCAGAAAATGTGGCACTATAATGCATCACATACGCATGCTTTCAAAGTGAATTCTCTTGGCCCTTTCAATAGTACTTTCACACTAACGGGCTGGACTATGCTACCTCTAAAAGACTGAAATGGATGCATGAAACGATTTCCTGGCATCCTTCTCTGCTTTTCAGAATGTGGTGCATGAAACAGCTTCAGGGACAGTGCCAGGGGCTTGAGGACTCAGATATTTTTTCTTTTTTAAAATAAGATCCCTAACTGATTCACATAAGAGCTTGAAATCATAGGAGAATCTAGGAAGCTGTGGTGGTCTAGTGGTAAAGAGCTGCGCTGCCGACTCATAGACAAGTGGTTCAAATCCACCAGCTGCTCCACAGGAGAAAGACAATCTCCTCCCATGTGATTTACAGCCTCTGAAGATCAGCTGATGGGTCAGCTATGACTTGTTTCTTTCGACTTTATGACAATGAGAGAGAGCGCATAGAAACGACCCATGTTAAAGGTACTTCAGCAAAGCTCAGAAGGCCAACAGCTGGCTTCCGTGGAACACCTTCCTGGTGTCTCTGAATCGTGGGAACCTCACAACAGGAGGAAATATTGGCTGGCCCTGCTTCATCTCGATGGCTGTTGATATGCTTGAGCCCATTGTTGAGGCTGTTGTGTCAATTTGTCACCTTGGAGGGACTTCAAAGTTTTTGTTAACCCTACACTTTACCAGGGATATTCTCCTTGCCAGAAGGAGCATGGTGGTGTGAGCGCAGGGATCGTGGCAAGCTTTTGGAGTTGACTGCTTTTCCGGGCGTGTGTTTGACGTGCAGGTTTGCTCTGTCCCCGGGAGCAAGGCAAGCCAGCTTGGGTCTAGGGTTTGAGCCAGGAGGTGGCCTTAAGCCCAAATGGTTCAAATTGTTTTCCTGTCAAACATTCTTCTAGGTGGTATAGCACTGGTCTGTGTGTTGCTGTACAGAGGTAACTCGTGGTTGCTGTGATGCTGAAGACTGTGACAGTGATGTGCCAATCGTGGTAATGGGCACCCATGGTAGACAGTGTTGGCTGGAGCTTCCCGACTAAATCAAGCCTGGAAGCAGGAGCGGCATCCACTTCCGAAATGGCTTGCTTCCAGAAACTCTGTGTACGAACAGTGCTCAGGCTGTTCATTCATAGGGTCGCTATGAGTCGTCTACGACTCGACGGCGCCAAACAACAACCACCACCACCACCAACACTTTTCCAAACTTGAGTGAGTAGGACTCTATGAGTAAGGACAAAGACCTCATCTATACTCTCAGATTGAAAAGCAAAACACATGAACGAGTATCTTCCCTGTAGGGTCCTGATGGGAAGAAGCTCCTGTCCATCGGTCAGCACTGAGCAGTGACACTTGCGGTTGAGGAAGTCTCCCGCAGTCCTGGGACATACCTGTCAGGAGAGCTCAAACTGAAGGATAAGCCCTGAGGGAGTATTATCTTATCACCTGATAAAAGTGAGAGTCTCCATAGCACTTGTCTTCGCTACATTCTCACGTCCACAGGTCCCCGCTCTCTGTCCCCTGATATCCTTCTCATACGCCAAGAGCCAGTCTCCCCAACCACATACTGGGAAGAGCAATGTTCTAACCTGAGTCCCACAAGCTCAGAATCCGGTGGGAGCTTCAGGATCATGGTCTACTTTCCTTGAACAGAGAACATAAGCAACTCATCTAAGTTGTTCAGTTCATGACCATGGCATTGCTGGGCACTGAACTCAGGTCCTTTGATGCATTTGCAATCTTTCCTATTCCAGTGTGGCCCTGTAATGTACAGCACAGGCCTGTTTCGTACCAGAAGGGAGCTTTCTTTTTATTCCAGAGGTTGGTCCTGGACATTCATGACCAATGACATTTACTAACCTGGGTTAATTCCCATAAATACAAAGACAGTGTTTCTGTTTGATGAATGAACTGAAGGAACATCCACTTGTTGCCTTTAGGAAATACAAGAAGGAAAGCTGATGGTCCTTCAGATATCACACATTGTCCTTTCCTGTGAGGGCTCAGCCACAGTAACACAGAAAGGTTGTGGGCACATGCTGACAGAGGGCAGAGTCCACTCACACAGGAAGGGGCAGAGTTGGTTGCATAAGGCCAGTGGTTCACTTTCAACTTCTGAACCTTCACACTGGCCACCAACCTCTGCTACAGCTCAGTGTTCAGGAAAGAAGGACAGACTGAATTCTTAGAGTCCCAGCTACACATAAAGCAAAATTTAAAAAGCACCTTCCTATCTATCATCTATCTATCTATCTATCTATCTATCTATCTATCTATCTATCTA